AGACATTTCATCCCTTAAGCAATTTGGTGGTTTTATTTTTTTAACTTTCTGATGAAACGATTTTTAATCAAAACTAGAAATGGCCGAAGAATGGCAGATAAATTGAAGTTAACGTGATGGCCGCCTCCCGTGGCTTCTGTTACTGTCCCTGAGGGGAAGGATCAGCACTCCTTTTTCCCAGCTGATGACCAGCCCTGGCACACCCCCCCACACCTCCTCCTCAGTGCAGATTTGTACGGCTGCATCATTTCTTAGGGCTGGTGGCTTAAAACAACATAAATTTGCTCTCATTTAGGTCTGGACACCAGAAGTTCTATATCAGTTTCTCTGGGGGTGGTGTTTTGAATGAGAAATGCCCCACGGAGACTCACATATGTGAACACTTAGTCCCCAGTTGGTGGTGCTTTTGCAGATTTAGGGGGTGTGGCCTTGCTGGAGGTAGTGTGTCAGTAGGAGCAGGCTTGGAGAGTTCATGGCCTGGTCCCATCCCACTTCCAGTTTGCTTCTGCACCTTGAGTGTGCTCGAAGACACGAGCTCTCAGCTTTCTGCTCCAACTGCCTCCTGCCATGCCTCTCCCACCATTATTGACTCTCTGGAACCATAAACCAAAATAAACTCTTTCTTCTGTAAGTTGCCTTGATCTTGGTGTTTTATCACAGCAGCAGCAAAGTAATACAGTGAGCCAAAATCCAGGTGTCACTGGGGCTACAGTTGGGAGGCTCTAGGGAAGAGTCATCCCTCCCCTTCCAGCAGTCCTTGGTTTGGGTCCACATCACTTCAGTCCCTGCTGCTGTTACCACTTCACCCTCTCCTTTACAAGGATTCTTGGAATTGGGTTTGGGCCATACCCAGACACTCAAGGATGACCTCCCCACATCAAGAATCCATAACATAATCACATCTGCCAAGGATTCAGCTTCTATGGGAACCTTTAAATTTCAAGACTAGAACCTGATGATCGGGGAGCATTTTCAGTGTGTTGCAGTGGTGATGCCAGTACTGTGCCTCAGGACCACACTTAGACTACCGCCTGGGTACCATAGATGAAACCCAGGCCACTTAAAGCCAGGAAATTATGCCACAGCTCCTGGCCCTATTCCTCCCTGCAGTGTTCAGCAGTGAACCTAGAAGAAAAAGACTGGTTTTTAGCCCTCTGAGGCTGTGTGCACTTGCTCCTTTATCCCCAACTCCTTTTAAGTGAGGTGGTTTGGTTTGGTTTGCTGGTTGGTTGCTTGGGTTTTGTTGTTGTTGTTGTTGTTTTGAGACAGGGTCTCCCTGTAGCCCTGGCTGGCCTGGAACCCCCTGTGTAGACCAGGCTGGCCTTGAACTCACAGAGCTGTGCCTCAGGAGTGCTGAGATTAAATAAAAGCCTGTGCCACCACACCCAGCATGAACGAGTTAAACAAATGAATCCTTACATTTAAAAAAAATTCAAACCCCTGCATCTTCAACAGAACGGTTTGGCTTTCTTCCCTTTCCAGCATCTATACGAAAACAGGCACAAAAGCATCTGTGGTAAGGGTCTGAGAGATTATGTCAGCCCTTCGCACAGGTAACACACCATTTGCTTTAACATTTCTCAAAGGGCAAATTTCTCAAAGAGAAATTCGATGCCCTGAATTAGAATTGCTAGCAGGGGGGCTGGAGAGACAACACAGCAGTTAAGAGCACTTGCTAGTCTTGTAGAGGACCAGAGTTTGACTCCCAGCATCCACAATGGGTGGCTCACAACCACCTGTAACTCCAGCTCTAGGGGATCTGACATCCTCTTCTTGCTACTATAGGCACTTGCACATATGTGTGTGCACGCATGCACGCACACAAACACACATTTTTTAAATTGCTTATAGAGGTAGACAGATTGCAAAGTAGTAGCCAGAAGAGAGGAAATAAGCAACAACTAGAAAAATCGAGTTTCACTAAAAACTAGTGAACCACTAAGCTGAAGGTGCAGAATGAGGAGCTCTTGACCGTCCGATGTATCTTAATTCAGTAGAACTGAACAAAAGTGGGAAAAGAAATGATGCAGAACAGAGTGTTCTAGAGCTACCCTCCAAGGCTCCTGAGGACTCCTGTATTCTAACTACACCTTGACAAGTACCGTGGGGTTTACCCCCTGCAGCAGTCTGTCCTACCACCGAGTCAACAAGCCTCTCTTTAGGTGGAGAAAAGAAAGAAATGACAAGAGCTGACCCCTTGCACCACCACCTATGTTCCCTCCGTATTACTGGGCATGGGAAGCTGTCTAGTGAGAGATTCTTGCTTTCAAGGCAAGACAGGCCAAGCATAATTCAATGGGCACCCAGTGTGAGAAAAGCTGTTCAAACACGTCCTAAGTAGTTAATCAGTTCCTTGTTAGCATGAAAGTTATCAATACCAAAACGAAGTCACATATCTTATTAAGCAGGTTCAAAAAGGTCATGAAGGAGGAACATTCATACTATGATTATATATTTTCTAAAAATCACAGCCTGAGCTTGCCAAGGACTCACACAAGGACAGCTAGCCCACAGGGAGAGGTAGTCACATGAAGACAGCTAGCTGCTTGAGCAAGAACACCTGCCTGACAGACGGTCTCCACTAATGAGCTAGGTGAACTGGAGACAGCCCCTGCAACCCACACAGAACTTCTCTTTCGTCTCCAAAAGCTTCCCTTTGTCCCAGTCTCCACATGACTTAGCAGCATACTGTAGAGTACCAGAGCTTATGTCCTAGATTGCAACTCCCTTCCCCTGCTATACCTGAATAAACACTCAGAAAGCTGTTTCTCTGCCATTAATCATAGGTTGACAGTAGTAAAGAACCAGTTCTGCCCTGGGGAGTTCTATTTGCTTTTACAGAATCCTTCAGTCCCTTATTATTTACCGCAGGGAGAGGAGAAAAAACAGCCATGCGGAGCTGGAGCTATCCTAAAAGATGGGTGAAGTGCTTGCTGAAGAAACATGACTTGAGTTTGAATCCATGTAAAAGTCAGGCTCAACTGCTCACATACGTAACCTCAGTGCTCAGGACACAGACAGGAGTATCCTGGGGCTTAATGGCCAGCTAGTCTAGCCATTAAAACACCAAGCTCCGGTTCATTGAGAGATCTTTAAAAAAAAAAGGTAGCAATAGAAGAAGACAGAAGACAGCTGACTTCAACCTCTGGCTACACAGTAACACACACACACACACACACACACACACACACACACACAGAGACAGAGAAAGCCATTCTGTGGCTTCCAAAGTCACCTTCACAGTGTGGAAATGAGATAACCTTTCAAACATTCTCAAATCTGCAGATCCCAGATCACCATGTTTTGGAGGGTAAAGGGGTCGGTGGCTCTCAGCATGCCCAGGTGAGTCTAATCTAAATGCACACAGACTTTGGCAGGCACCTCCACCCTGTCCCATTCCCATACCTGTGTAGCTGCTTTGATGCTGCACTAGGCCGTCATGACCAAGGCAGCCTCTAGAAAGAAGAGGTTCCAGAGGGATGAGTCCCTTGTGATGGGGGAGGCACGGTGGGAGGCAAGCAGAGCAGAAGGCTGAGCCACATCTTCAAGTAGGCACAGGAAGCTGAGCGAGACTGGGAATGTGACCAGGTTACAAATGCTCAAAGCCCACCCCCAGTGGCATGCTTCCATACCTCTTAAACCTCCACAAACAGTGCCATCAACTGGGGACAAAGTGCTCATATATTTGGAGTCTATGGGAGTCATCCTCATTCAAACCACCACAATACCGCAGTGATAGTATTCGAAATGAAGCTCTGGGAGACCCTCCTTTAGTTAACCTTGCTTCTGAGAAGCCTTTGATCCCTAAAATAGTCAACATTTGATTGACTCAGTCACTTCCTTCTGAGTACGGCCTTTTATGGTAAAGCATCAGCTTTCAGCAGAACACTAAGGGCTGCCAGAAAGGGATCGAAGTACCCACTGGCCAAAGGGCACGGCAGCAGCACAGCTTCCATCTGCCTGCACATCACTATCACATGGGATAGTCCGTTCAGTGCCAAGGCAACAAGCCGGTGTCCTCGAAGCCACTAAACCACACATGATGGTACACATGCTACCCAGAACCATAAAGGGAATGACTATTAATACCGTGTGAATCCTTTTCAATGGAATGATTAAATCAACTCTGTAGTCTGTAATCTCCAACCACCACTCCAGGCTCTCCAGGGTACTCATATCCAACTGGTGTCCTTTCCCAAACATCTGCTGGAAAGAGTGCTGTCCCCCACAGACTGGGGAGGGCACAGTCACGGGCCTGTGCTATGAATATGTTATCTTTGACATTCTGGGCAATGTTACATGTTATCAAAAACTCATGATCCCAGGAACAGAGGCAACAGAGAAAGGTGGACCACTCCTCCAACCTCCCCAAACAGCTATTGTTACGGCTTACCTTTCTCTGATTTAGGAGACAGCTCTTTATGGAGAACCCTGGCTGGCCCAGGGGCCTCTGTGGAGGTCTAGGTCATTTCCTGGGCATTTGCCCTTCAGTGTCACTCTGTAATAGGTGAGAGCCCTGAACTGACAGTCCCTTCACCTCTTGAACACTGTAGGTGTCGATCACCGGTACTAGAGAGACGAGTATTAAATGTGAAGTCCTGAGCTCTCTTTAGACAGTTTAAAATCCCACTTCATCTTGGTGATTTAGTAAATATTCTGAGAAAGTAAATTTTTACATAAAAGGCAAAAAAAAGTAAGTTCCCAAAGAGTTTAGATATGCGTGAAAAGCTACTCTGTGTTCCAGAATCACTCAGAACAACCCTCAGGGGTGAGGTGATACATACTAGGTAAACAGTAGCTACCATGCCCTGTAGCAAGGGCAGATTGCCTAATTAAATCAGGAGTACTGAAGAACACGTTACTGGGGTTACTCAACAAAATACAACCCAAGGGACCATGCAAGTCACCAAGCAAGGCTCTGTGAGGAAACAGAGGAGGCCTTGCTGACTGGTAAGGATATGACCATGTGTCACTATCTAAGGTCCTATGCCTGTGAGAATGAATGTGTCTTGTGATGACATTAAATTCTGTTTATTTAGTATTTGAAACATGATGTACACTCATGAGTTTGTGTATAAACACTTAGTACATCTAAAATCCACAACCGGGAACACTGTGCTTGCTTCTGTGTACAATGCTGGAGTTTACATCTGGACATTTTGCTGTTCTGAAGACCCAATCTCTGAGTCCAATCAAATGGCCTCATGCTATCATAACAACTGTGACAGACACGATTTGTTCCTTACAAGGGCTGTTTCTTGCCAGAAAAAAAAGGTGTCACATTTGGAACTAATAAACCAGGTATGAAGGAAACAAGAGAGAGACAGCTGACATGACAAAGCACGTGAGGAGGCTCTGAAGATCCGTGTCAGCACACAGCATGACACGAGTAATCTGTTACATGTAGAAATGAGCACTCAGTTCTCAGCCACCAGGTGTCAGGGTCAAGTCTTTCCACCCACATCGGCCTGAACAGGACCGGCCAGAGCTGGTTCTCTGCTCAGCGCGCTCTGAGGGCCTGTGAAAGTCACAGCTGCAGCTCGGACGTGCCAACCAGGCCCAGGGCTCTAGCTTCTTCTGGAGTCAGGCCACTCTTCAAGGTCCTTCGCACTGCAGGGGTCCCACAAGTCAGGGCCGGAGAGACAAGAAGAGACGAAGGGATTAGCAAGAGGACACGTGCTGGTCAGTGTATCAGTGCTTCTTCCCAATGACCCAGTGAGGCCCAGGACCACTCTGCTCTTGCTGAAGTGCCGTGGTAGCCTCTGCCAGGGTAGAACGATCGCGGGAGGGGCAGGGCTTGAAAGGAGGGGAGGCACATCTTCACTTTGTTTCTGAAAAACAGGTGCGAACTGTAGAAACTACAGAAGGTGTGTGGAAGCCACAGGGAGGTGACGTGAACAGGGCACAGGCAAGGGAGTCAGCAAGCGCCAACCTGTGACCTCCCACCTGTCTGCAGAGGAAACAAGGCTAGGTAGGGACGTGATCAACAGCTGGGGCCCTGCAGAGCCAAGTGTCAGGCAGAGCCCAAGGCAAGGGGCAATTGTCAGGATGAGTCTCTCCGACAACCATTATGGGTCTCAGTCTTACTTTGATAAACTTTATGGGACAGTGTTTTAATGATCAGTGACTCTTCCCAAAGGGATGCCAAGGAGGAAACTACCATCTGAGGGGGTGTAGTAGACGTTTTATAAACACACAAGTCTCAAGAAGGTCAACAGACACACCACCCTCACTGGGTCGTCACTGACAACTAGACAGATGCTCATATTTAATGCAGAACGGGCTTCTGTTCATATGGTAAAATATGTTTTGACCTATTTGGTCAATTTTGATGTGAAAATAAAGGTGGAAAGGGGTGAAGAGAACAGCAGCTGCCCCTTCCCAGGCACACCTGCTTATTTGAAAAGTTAATTCCATTTATCTGAATTTACTAATTGTATCCGGCCCACTCCAATTCTTTGAAGAGCTTAAAAAACTGGGGTATTTGTTCTATTTTCAGAAGGTGTCTGGTAGATCTGACTCCCCATCTCCCCATCTAATCCCACACTAGCCACTCCCCTAGATGATCAGGACAGACTTTTAATCAGTGTGGGAAAAGTTAGGTTAACCCCTAGTGACCTTCTATTACTTTTACTAGACCCAAGCCCCATCATCCCTTCCCCAGAAGCCAGGGTCACACCTGACTGTCTACTGGCAATACCCCTTAATCCATGACTCCCACCACCCCCATGCCTGGACTCATTTAGCATGTAGCTCTCATAGCAAAGGATCTGAAAGATCTAGACACTTCAGCTCTACTCCCTGCACTCTGGATCAGATGGGTATCAGGCACAAAGACATAGGCTAGAGAACTAGAAAAGCCAGCTTCCCATTTGGAAGGTGATTTATTATTAGAAAATGAAACCATTCAGTGAACTAGAATACTCTATCTTTGTGAACCCAAGGTTTCCACCTGAACCCAACTTTCTTTTCCACATCATAGTCCAAGCTTCTGGTTCAGTCCTGCCCTCTGAGATGCAATCACCATTCAGCAGGGCACATGAGGAGGCCTTTGGTTTTCTCTCTTGCTCCGTTCATCCTCCTGTTTACATGGGGAGATAGATGCCCTCAGCTGTCTTTAAGAGAGGAGTTAGCCCATGAGCTCAAAAAATCATTAGATAATAAATATGAATGGCAATATCATTAAGAAGACAAAAGTTTGACCAGAAACTTGTCCTTTCTTGTAACATCTGTGTTTTGTTCCAAGAGCCTCTATCCTACTGTTAGCTTGTTCTATAAAAGAACATATAATGGCTCTGAGTAACGAATAACTAATTACAATGAAAGGAGCTTTTTCTTAATGAGATTCATGAAAAAAGATCTCTGGATGCTTTCAAATCCCATTTCATAAAAGAGGAAATACATGACCTATGTTGTATGCTAGTACGGTTCAGTACTGAATCTGACATTTTATGAGACGTGTCTACTTTCTTTCTAGACTAGGTTGACTAGTTTTTAATAATTCAGTACAAACTATCTTTAGGAGATTCTGCTCCTGAGACAACAAAGCTACAATCCCCAATATTCTGTAAAACAACAGAAGATTTTAGTTATATCAAACAAGTGTGGAATATGTCTCAAAGGAGACACATGGGAGGATGTTCATGGTGTGAGCGAACAGGAATTAGGGACATAGAGTCCTGCCTTCCTTTCCCAGTAATCCCTGGACTCTGGACTGAACAACTATTTTTACAGAGGTGACCAACCTCAAGTTCTCAACTTAACTGTAGGTCATACCAAAGTGATAGCATCTTCACAGCGACATGGTTCTAAGCCTTAAATGTCCTGAATCATGTCACAGGGGGGACCCAGAACCTCTCTTGGAAGGGAACACAGCCTCTATCCTACTGTTAGCCTGTTCTATAAAAGAACATATAAAGTACTTAGGCTTTACTAACTACTACGAGGTCTGGGTTTCCTTGGGATGAGAAAAGGCTGACTATGAGATGCTGGTCTGTGCCTGTATTCTCTGACATGCAGTCAGCCAGCTGGGCAATCCTCTTTCACAGATCGGCTCAAGAGAGAAAAGAGCAGGGTGCATGGATGGTGATCCTCCCAGCTACCAGAGTCTGCCCTGCATCAGTCTAGGAAGGATCCTGCAACACCACTGGGCTTTTGCATGTTCTAGGCAAGGAAGCCTGGGTGTACAATCAGCTCTGGAGTGTAACACACCATCCAATATGAAGAAAAGAAACCAAAATAAGGAAAAAATCTTATCTCCAAGAACTCTGTCCCTGGGTCAGAACCACCAACCGCCAACCACATGGGGAGCCAGGGCTGAAATTATGGGAGGCCAAGGAGAGCTGGAGTTACCATAGCACAGGCTAGCAACTGCTTAGCAAGAGGCCAACTAGCACAAACTGGAAAAGCAGCAGAACTAAGGTGTGCGTGTCTTAGAGTCAGACATCAACAGGTCGTGGGCACAGACCTTGTCCCCAACATCACATGTGGAAGCACACCTTGTCCATTGAGGACCTCGAGTGACCCTTTTAGCTCATAGATTCCTTGTTTATTCTGTTTCATTTCCTGTAGTAGCTGACTTTGTCTTTAATGAACTATATACCCAAGATATCTTGATCATTCATATCCACTTGCCTTATCGCCACTATTAAATAATCAAATGCAGGGGCTAGAGAGATGGTTCAGCAGTTAAGAGCACTGACTGCTCTTGCAGAGGACCCGGGTTCAATTCCCAGCACCTACATGGCAGCTACGAACCATCCTTAACTCCAGTTCCAGGGGAAACCGAAGCCCTCTTCTGACCTCTTCTGTCGTGCAGCAATGCACGACATGGGCGCACTCACATACATGCAGGCAATACACTCATACACATAAAATTAAAATAACAAAGTATTTTTTAAAATAAATAACCAATGTAGCATTTTCATAGTGAGGTCCAAACCTAAATTTCCACACAGATTTTTTTTTTTTGGTCTTATTTATTCCTTTAGCCTCTTGTGAAAAGCTGCACTTTATCATCTCGTTAGAGCAGAAATCAAAGTTTAACGTCCCCTGTCTTATACTTCTGTTGACAGAACCACCCATTACAGATAAACACTTACATGAACACAGTACTAGATCTACTACAGTCTCTGTGTCAAAGGGAAAAATGTGTTTGGCTAAGTAAAAAGAGCACGTGGCTGTTTTGCATAACTGTGGAGTGGTAACGATGCCATGGGAAATTACTTTATGTCAACCACAAAAACAGCCTCTCTCTGCCAGGCTGAAGAGGAAAACTAACTATGGCTGTGTTACTATTCCCAGGGACATTACGGGTGGAAGAGTCTAGTTTCCTCTAGGCCAGGAGGTGGGCCCAATGCAGACAAATAACATGTAGAAGAGTCTTGATTTTCACAGTGGCCAGGCCAATGGTTCATGCAGTCACCCTGTATGAGGTCCCTGGATCCACCTTGCCAATCTCTGCCAGGGTATCCTGGGTCTGGTAGCCTGTCTCCATCTTTCCTAATCTCACCCTCAGGCTCTCTATCCAAGACATTGTTTGTTTATTATTTTGTGGGGTTCTGCTCCAGGGCCTTGCACATACTAGATTCGTGTTCTACTCCTGAGATACATCCCCAGTCCTCCACAACCATTGTAAATGCCCACTTCAGTAAGACCAATCATTAACAGGTGGCTACTAGTTTATCAAAGTAGCTGGTAGGAGGGCAGTAAAGGGCAACTACTTTAGATAATCTCCTTAAAACCTGGAAAAAGTCTTTAGAAATTTCATTTGAAAAGCTATTTAAGATGATTTATTTTTTTTTAAATAGTAAACTAAAAACCATGCAAATAACACAGACAAGTCAACTACAAAATAAGAGAGATAAATTCTAAGTGGCTTAAGCCTCCTAGTGTTTAGAAAAGAGAAAAAAACATAAAAATACAATCGCAGAGTGTGGCACTGGCCTGGAGTGCTGGGGTTTGGGCTGTAGTATTAGACTGGTGTGGATCAGTCTTCCCCTTCGGAGAAGCTTATCTTGGGAGGACCTAACAACACCAGTCCTGGTCTCACTGCCCACCCTCCTCACTATAAATTAGACCCCAACCCTGGGGCTCTTGTTAAATGAGGATTCTACATGTTTCCCTGGGGTGAGGCCCAGGAATCTGCATTTTAATGTTTCTTAGAGGTGATCATATTGTCTAAGGTCTAACTTTGAGGAGCAAGTCTCCAGCCAAATTCTTAAACAGACACACCAGGAGACAGGCAAAGATTCACAGCAGAATTAGGGAAAAAGCAAAAAAGTATCAACAAAACTAAAGGCAAAGCCTTCCTTAGGACTGAGGGCCACAAACATATTCTTTGTTTGGGACTGAGGGCCACAAACATATTCTTTGTCTTTTTGAGAGAAGGTTTCCCTGTAGTCCCAGCTGGCCTGAAACTCACTATGGAGACCAGGCTGGCCTTAATCTCACAGAGCTCTGCCTGCCTCTGCCCTCTGAGTGCTGGGACTTAAGGCATGCACCATCACGCCCGCTATACAAATATTCTTGAAGATATAAACGTGGCAGAGAACTCAATGACAATTTTCCATTAAAAACCTGAGGGAAGCCAGGTGTGGCTACACATGCCACAGTCTACATAGTGAGTTCCAGGCCAGCCAAGGGCTACTAATGAGACCCTCTCTCAAAAACAAAACAGCCTGGGGGGATTGTAAGGGTAGGAGTTGAGGCATACAGTACAGGAAGCACCGACCACCTAATGCCACTAATTCTCTAAGGGGCAAGTGACTCAGCCCTCAGCCCCAACTCCTGAGGTTCCAAAGTTTTTGGGCTGAGTGAGCCAAGGTATCTAGAATTTTTAAATCTCTGTAGAACATCTACACTCTATAATGTGTATCAAAGGCTGAGAACCACAGCTCCAGGGCCCCAATACTCAGCCTGAGTACTGAGGGCCAGCAGTATCAATCTTACCAAAGAGCTTGGCAGGAACCAACTATCAGTGCAGTCATCAAAAGTACAATGGCTCAGCGGTTAAGAGCACTGACTGCTCTTGCAGAGGACCCGGGTTCGATTCCCAGCCCACATAGCAGCTAGGAACCATCCTTAACTCCAGTTCCAGGGGAATCTGAAGCCCTCTTCTGACCTCTGCTGGCATTACACGACACGGGTGCACTCACATACATGCAGGCAATACACTCAGACACATAAAATAAAAATAATATATAAAATAGTTTTAAAATATTAATAGATCATCTTTTATTTAAAGCCTTAGCATCCTTGAGTGGTGGCTTTGCCCAACTAGAAAAACAACTGCCTTCGGACCACTTGGTCTAAGGCGGTATTGGTGCCTGCAAGCCTAACCACACAAAGCTCCTCTGTTTTCTCTCCTCCTGGTCTATGTGTCAGTAAATAAAGTTTTTCATATGTGCCTCGGATGCCCCACACTCTCTTCAACATCCCAGCCTCCTCTCTTTCTGGCATTGGAATTTGGATCTCCATGTGGCAGAGTTGACAGAATGCAACTACAAGGCAGAACACTGAGACAAGTTGGATGCAACCCTGCATTGCTGGGAAAGATTCCTAAGGTCCTGGCAGACACCCTGACTGTAGTGCACTGCTGCTAGAAAAGTAAACTAGCTCTCTTTGACAGTGTTAAAATCTGGCCATGTGGACACTTTGTGACAAGATGTAAAAATGAGTGAGTGACCAGAGCTGAGAAAGAAACTAGAAGCTTGGGAATGTGATTTAGGGCATGAGACCATGAGGACCCTTTTATCAACAATGAGACAAACT